TTTTTTTAGTTCTACGTTACATTTTAACTGTGACTGTTATAATACTGTTTACTTTTACTCCAATAAAATACACATATTTGTATTAAGTGATGTCTCACGTGTAAAACAGTACCCCCTATATGCAGGTTTTAGAGTGTTTTGAGAAGTTACAGGGTCAAATATAGCATGTTAAATTTTTCAGTTTTTTCACATTGAAATTCGCCAGATTGGTTACGTTGCCTTTGAGGCTGTATTGTAGCCCAGGAATAAGAATTACCCCCATGATGGCATACCATTTGCAAAAGTAGACAACCCAAGGTATTGCAAATGGGGTATGTCCAGTCTTTTTTAGTAGCCACTTGCTCACAAACACTGGCCAAAGTTAGTATTAATATTTGTTTGTGTGTGAAAAATGCAAAAAACTAATTTGAACTCCAATTTTGGCCAGTGTTTTTGATTACGTGAATACTAAAAAATACTGAACATACCCCATTTACAATACCTTGGGTAGTCTACTATTGCAAATGGTATGCCATCATGGGGGTAATTTTCATTCCTGGGCTACCATATGTGCTCAAAGGCAACGTAACCAATCTGGTGAATTTCAATGGGAAAAAACTGAAACGCAAGCCTTATATTCGACTCTGTAACTTTTAAAAATACCATGAAACCTGCACATGAGGGGTACTTTTATACTCAGGAGACTTTGCTGAACATAAATATTATTGTTTCAAAACAGTAAAAGGTATCACAACAATTATATTGTCCGTGTATTGACAATTTGTGGATGAAAAATGCAAAAAATTTCACTTTCACTGACAATATCGTTGTTGTAATACACTTTACTGTTTTAAAACACTAATATTTGTGTTGAGCGAAGTCTTCCGAGTAAAACAGTACCCCGAACGTACAAGTTTTATGGTGTCTTAGAAAGTTACAGAGTTAAATATAGTGCTAGCAAATTAAATTCCCTGGACTTCTGGCCTAGGTTGTCAGGCAGGTCCCGCAAATTGTAATTAATAAAATGACCTAATTATGTAAAATTATTACATAAATATATACGTAGAATTATTATATATATGTGTGTGTATATATATATATATATATATATATATATATATATCTATATAATTTTTTTATATATATATATATATATATATATATATATATATATATATATATATATATATATATATATATATTTCATACATGTATTTTGATATATATATATATTAATTTTGAAATACAGTTAGAACGAATTTACACACACACACATATATATATATATATATATATATACCGTATATACTCGAGTATAAGACGAGTTTTTCAGCACATTTTTATACGTCTTATTTATTTTTATTTTATTTTTTAACGTATTTACATATTTATTTTATATTATATATGAATATATATAGAATGAAAATTATACATATATTTAATAAATATAATTGTATGTGCATTTTGATATTAATATATATACCGGTGGGTGTGTGTGTGTGTGTGTGTGTATGTATATATATATATATATATATATATATATATATATATGTGTGTATATATATCTCTATCTCTATCTATATCTATTTATTATATATATGATACACATATACACATAAACTGTCTAAGTGTATTTTAATATTAATATATATATATATATATTAAAATACACTTAGACAGTATGTGTGTGTGTGTGTGTGTGTGTATATATATATATAAAACTATATATATATATTAATATTAAAATACACTTAGACAGTTTATGTGTGTGTGTGTATATATATATATATATATATATATATATATACACTTAGATCATATATAGAATAAATATATATATGATCTAAGTATATATTTTATTTTCAACTGTAACTTTAACTTTTTTTTACTTTTTACAGGCAGTAGGGGGGAGTACCTGTCATTACAGGCACTCCCCCTACTGGCACTGACATGGCTATGCCGTCCATGTGATCGTGAGGTCCTTGCTGAAGAGGAAGGAGGGGGACTCCCTGGGCTCCCAGGTAAGCCCCCATACCGCAATCTCCGGCAACCGGGTAAGTAGGCATTTAGAGCCAGGTCCCTAAGGATGGCATAGAATGCCCGTCGTCCTTAAGGGGTTAATCAGATCAAATTTAGTCATGTATTATTCATTCTTCCAGATTAAAAAATAAGCTCTTTGTTTACGCATCCACCTAACTTATGAAAAGAAAAATAATATGTCCTTGCTTTTAATTGTGCCTACATAATACATTTCGGGCCAAAGATAAGTACATATTGTCAAGTGCATTCAGTATTTTGTGCAGAAACTGTGAGAAGCGATCATGTCAAATTTAATTGCTTTGCTTTTTGTGAATTAAGTTTGGCAGCAGTCATATTTTTCCTGATAGTGAATAAAGTCAGTAATGTTCTGACCTTTAAGCCCAGGAAATGTATTCAATAATTTACATGATACAATAATTTAATTCTGCTCTCTGCTGAGATAACAGAGGATAAATCTTTTTTAGGGAAATCTAGAAATGCCTTTTGGATATATAAAATCCAAATGAATAAGAAGTAACTGGAAGGTAAATGTGTCTCTATTTGAAAAGGAATCCAATACAGCCATGGTATCAGTGATTAACTTAAAGAAATAAAATTACATCAATATCCTTGATGCTATCCAAGCCCAACATGGGAAATATACATATTTTTCAGTGGTTGACATCGTATGCAGTCAGCATGTGTTGATCAGGATGACAACCTTTCCATCTATGCAACATCTTACCCTGAGTTCTGTCATATCCTGAAATGCTGTCCTTCTGACCATTAAAACTCAAACAATAAAAGATGAAATTACACTTCATGTTGGACTTAACTCCACTTATGCATCATTCATTATGATCCAAAAAACCAACATGGCCTAGAAAATGTTGACAACTAAAAAGTAAAAATTTGGAAGAGGAATAGAGTTTGAAAGTGTAGCTAATATGTTTTGTTTGGTTTCACTCTAGCAGTGCAGCTTTGACAACGATCCACTAAAAACACAACTTATATTAAGATTTTTAAGGGGATGGAATTTTTGGCGCTTGCATTTTGTATGTGTGGCAGCTCGGTCTTCCCTAACCAGAGTCTCTTCTTTCTGGTAAAGTGGTTGATATGCAGAGAAGGGTGCAGGGAGACAGTGTATGTAGAATTATTCTCAGATCCAAAGTAGTATATAAAATAAACAGAGAGAACGTAATATAGTGTAGTATATTATATATCCTGGTAAAATATGAAAGAAGAAAATGCACTTACAATATTCTGGAGTTTATGTTCAGCTCCAGATTTACACGTAGGGATGGAACAAATCCCGTCTGTGAATATGATAGTAGATCCTTGTGATTGTTAGTAGGTGTTGATCCCAGGCTTTTAGTTGTTGTACTGCAGATGGGCAGTCAGATGTCCTCAGTGTATAGGAGAAGAAATAAAAACAGACTATAGTGCTCACTGTATATGTTGAACAGGATAAAAATAAAAGATAAAATATACTCACAAACAGAGAGCAAATAATACAGGTATTGCTCAATCCCAAAAGGCTTGGTTGGTATAATCCCCACCAAGGATATCACTGTGAGTGTCTTTGGGATAACAAAACTTCAAAGATAGGTCTGGAATCTCCAAGGTGATATAAAACAATTGACTTTATTTGGAGATAATAAAAAATATAAAATCAAGTATAAAGGAAGTTATAAAACCCTAATGCGGTTACCCTAAAACAGGCTTTTTGAAAGTGATATAAGCATTTCATCTCTTTGAATTGGTTATAGTGCCTGGAGTACCCTGGCACTGTCCCTCCATTCAGTGTTGCACCATGTTCGTGCAGTATGCCACAAAATAAGAGCCCCTGGCCACCCACAGTCCAGCCCCTTCAGTATGTGTAGCTAAGGCAGAGATTACATACCCCCTTGTTGTCATACCCACTCATACCGTCAGTTGGAACTCTGACAGGCTAAAAGCAGTCAGCTGACACTCTCAGCCAATCACAGCTGCCCATTTCTGCTCAGGCTAATACTTCCTTATTAGCCAAAGCAGCACAGAGAGGATGGATTGCCGGGGACTCTTGTTTAGCATTAAAACATTAAAACTTTAAAAACTGTTTAATGCTGATAGAAATGATGGGACCAGAAGACTCCAGACACTATAACCAGTTTAGTGAGATGAAGCAGATACAGTGCCTACCGTGTCCCTTTAAATAGCTTTAAAACAGGTGGTATGATTGGTCATGAGTTAATTAGTTAAAACTTTATGTAAAACGTGATATAAACCATATTAAACATCAGAGTAAATGTAATGAATGATACTTCAGAGAAATATAGATAACATTGAAATAAAATTCATTTTAAAAGCAGAGGTAATCATGTGTTATTTGTGGGGTAGCTTTAAGAAGGGGGGACCAAGATGGGCGCAGCAATCTCCATAATAGGAGTATAAAAATGGCCACCGCCAGTTTAATGGAAAAAAAGTCTGAAAAAAATACTTAAAAAATGATGGTTTGGTTCTCAAGAAGGGAGGGTGTGTTGGTGGATGGGATGCTTCTCCCCTTACAACAAGCATTATAGACTCAGAAAAGGCACTTAGATTTGGAGTGCCAATATGGCATCCACGGCCCCTGCACTACATGATGGGCCTGGGCCGTGATGTCATAGTTTGCTGGGTAATCAGTATGTGAACATCAAAAGGAAGGGAGGGGAGCTGGAGCGGAGGCGATAAGGAAGTGGATTGCTTTACCTGCTATGGATATATGCAGGATAGCTCCTCCTTATGGCAAGGGCATAAGGGAAATGTAGTAAAAAATGACTAAATCCAACGAAAAAATAGGGGTATAACATAAAAAAATTATCAAAATGTATCTTAAGGGGAAAATGTATCTTAAGGGGAAAAAAAGGGGCCTGGGTATAGTAATACAACTAAGAGTTATAAATGACTTATTAAAAGGCAAATAAATAGTAAATATATATATATATATATATATATATATCTATTGCTTTTATCACTGTTCTATAAATCTGATATCAGTCTGTATTTTGAGGGTGAGATATATATATATATATATATATATATATATATATATATATATATATATATATATCTCACCCTCAAAATACAGACTGATATCAGATTTATAGAACAGTGATAAAAGCAATAGTTAAAATATGCCATGATGTTACAAAAAGATAAAAACAGAAATATATGGAGAATTACAAGAATTAAAAAGGTCAAAATCAGCATTTAACCCTTTAGGAGCCAAAAGTGTCTAATTTGAGAACCCAGTTCATTTCTATTCTGCCTAGTAATTTAGAGAGGTTACCACCTCGCTAGTGGGGAGAAACGTTTTCTATAGCACAGAATTTAAGGTGCTTGTGGTCTTTATTTTGAATTAGGAAATGCTTAGACACAGTGGCGTCTCTAGGATTCATTTTTAGGGGTGGCATATGGAGGGCCAGGGACAAAAGTAGGGGGGCACATTTAACCCCGCCCTCGCTGCAGTTTGACCCCGCCCCTGTTGCATGGTAAGCCCCGCCCCCGACACAATGTGTTTTGTTTTTTTAATAATCCCTGGTGGAGGATTCATTATTTTCCACCAGGGATTATAAAAAAAACAAACACATTACCCTTGATACAGTGCCATAGTTGCCAATATTTGAAAAAAAATTTCCAAGGACATTTTGCAGCACAGTTATCAATTACTGTCTGGGTATAATATCCCTGGACAGTCAGTGCTCTCTGTATAATACAGGGTTGTGTGTTTAATAAATTGGGACACTCAGTGCTCCCTGTATAGTGCTGCTCTCTGTATAATAGAGGTCTGTTTGTGTATAATATCCCAAGACAGAGAGCAGCACTATACAGGAAGCACTGACTGTCCCGGGATATTATACAGGCACGGGCCTGTATTATACAGAGAGCAGCACTATACAGGAAGCACTGACTATCACGGGATATGATATACACACATATCTGTATTATACAGATAGCTGAGCATATACCCCATGTCCCAATCTCTAGACTACTAGTACCTGTCAACAGCAGCTCCCAGACGCATGTAACAGGGCTAAAGTGTGCGGCAGCTCACACAGATGATTCAGCGGTAAAGTGCACTCGCTGGCAGAGCCAAACTGGGAATCCCTGGGAATGCAAAGCAGCCCTGGAAAAAAATTTTATGCCATTCCTTCAAGTCAAAAAAAAAATATATATATATATAGTACAGTAAGCACACAAGCTCACTGACATGCGCAAATAGGCTTACTGACAGACACAACTCTCTGACTCACACAAAAGCTTACTACAGACAAACTCACTTGTATAAACAGAAGGCTCACTACAAAGAAGTTCAGGGACACACACAAGCTCACTAAAGACAAGCTCACTGACACACACATGCTCACTAAATAGAAGCTCACTGACACACACAAGCAGTACCATTTTAACAGAGTTAAGGGCCCCTGGGCAAAGCAATGCACTGGGGCCCTTCCTACACAACAACTCACAGGAATTTTAATTATTGAGAGACTGTGGAGTCCATACACACACGAAGACTGCTGAGTCCACACACAGACTGCTGAGTCCACACACACACACACACACACACACAGACTGCTGAGCAGTGGCGGATCCAGAGCCTGATCTTGGGAGGGGAACTTGTAGATTATTTACAGAAATAATCCAGACACAATAACCACTACAGCTCAGTGTAAAGGTTATGGTGTCAATAGTGACGGACCCCCTCCCAGAGTACGTAGTCAAACCGTTTAAGAACAGTTTGACAACTTACCTGAGGTCTGCTGGGAAATGGGGCTGTAGTAGGGCATAGGAGCAGTGGTGTGTGTGAGTGGTGCAATGTGTAAGGGGTGCAGTGTGTGTGTGTGTGTGTGTGTGAGGGGGACAGTGTGTAAGCAGTGTGTGTGTTTGAAGGTTGTAGTGTGTGAGTGAGGGCGGCAGTGTATGTCAGGGATGCAGTGTATGTGTGGGACAGTATGTGTGTTTAACAGTTG